GTGGATGGTCACATGCGAGTGAGTTATTTACCTAAGAAAGAGATTAAATGTGACTTAATTTAAAGCCCTGATGGGTTTAATAGAACGGCTTTACATTAAGTCGCATTGAGGATTCCAAAACACCACTGAGAAAGCTAAAAAAACGTGTCTGGACACTGAGTAGTCCTTTGCACAGTCTTTCAGTTAACAAAGGAAAAGAGTTAATATATTGAGCCCCGAACACAGAAGCATGCATGCAACAGGACACCAAGGAAGTGGACGTGATTCCAATCCATTCTCCCCCTAGGTATAGTGCTTATTTTTACAAGCACCTGTATAGACTTGTTACTGTTGCAGTGTGTATATACACACACTATCTGTAACACAGTATACACTTCTAAAACAATGGTCAATTTGTGTCTGCTGAAAGGATTTGGAACGTATTTATTTATATGTTTTGATCCCAAATACATTTGGAGAAGTATTGTTATTTATACACTAGTTTTTTTTTGTCTTTTCTCTCCTTGAAAAGACCATTCATTAAAAGACTAGTATAGATTTCTGATTATGGACACTTTATTACGAGTCATTTTTCTGTGCATGTATATACCTGTCTAATGCGGTCTTACTATTTTAATCTATTGAGTAACACCTGGGTGGTAAAACTTACCCACATTATTGGAAACAAGCTCTAGAATGGAGATTAAGACAATAAATGCTCTGCCTTACGAGGTAGCAGTTTTTTCTAAAAAATATTATAAAGCATATGAATGTTTTGTGGTTTTGGTTTTTTAGAAACAGGATATTTAGGATAAATTAGATAGTATGTAGGGTGACATCTGAGTGCCGTTCTGGAGACAAGAAGGAATTTTGTTTACTCATTTTCTAAATAAATAGTAAATGACTTATTCTTGTTTTCCTTTTGATAGATCTACAGCAGAGTTGTGTGAAAGGAGCACACGTCTCCTTTCAGCCTATATTACTTAGTAATTAATTATGTAAATAAGTTGCCGTTAAGCTCCAGGAAAAATATAGCATCATGTTTCCGATAAACTGTACACGGGACTAGGGGAAAAGGACAAATTAGCAAGCACTCTTCTTTTATGGAAAAACAATAAATAATGATATTGGTTTGTAATTGTTTCTCCATCCAACAGAAGCAGCCTTTGTACTGTATGCAAATACACATACTTCTATACAACCTGATCTGCCCTTACTAATGCTGGAATATTGGCACTTACACATTTACAATGCATTCAGAGTCATACTAAACAAATTCCAAAAATCGGCATGCCATCTCTACGCACATGTACACCAGGATGACAATTCTTCAAAGCAGCCAACTATGGCTATGCATTAACAGAGCACCAAATCAGCTTTTGTATAAATGCCTTGGAATGACTTTGTGCAGCTGTTCTTTCTGGGGATTTTTCTCCAGGGTTCTCTAAAAGTGCGAAACGAGACAGGAAGCTCAGTAGAACAGGGATCCACAATGTATGTTTAAAATAGATATGATTTACCTCTGCTGACTCCGTAAAATATTTCTAGATGGCAAAGAATATGATAAAATGTATTAATACAATCATATAAAACATTTCAAAGAAATTTCCTCAAACAACTGTAATAATCTACCGTACAACTCGCAAATAGGATTTGCAACTTTTGGCAGAGAGTTGTCCTGTTTTCAGAGAAGATGATGAGTCCATATTGCCAAGCAAGCTCCAATGCCAAGAATGAACATTACAAATTCTCCATGCCAGAGAGACTTCAAATGTTAATATATTTCTGACTTAATGAAAAATAATATGCAGAGTTTAAACAATAAATCAGGTCATTCCTGAATTCTTTATACATTGAAGAGCAAAGTATATAATTCAAATAGTAGAGTAGATATTGATACGAGTGCTTCATACCAAATTAAATTCAGCTGATGCCTGAAAAATTATGTCATGCAGATGTAGAGTACAAAATGTTAGTGCTATAGAGCTATATAAAATAGATATGTGTCAGTTCAAGAGACAACTGCTCTGCTGCTAAGATAAATGTTAACATCTATGTAGTCTAATAAATGCTTTTTTGGATCAAATCTGTGCTTTTGCTAGCGTAATAATTGTGCCACGAACAGACCATAATGCTTAGCAAAAACACACTACCTGCCAATACGTCTAGTAGGATTTAATTGTCATTGGTACACAGATGCCTTGCTAGGCAGACAAACAAAGAAGACGATAAACAACAAGGTTAGAATGATAAATGCACTGGTTATGAATATCTTAATCAAGAGATTTGTGTTTTGAGTTAAAAAATAATTAATGACAGTGAAAAGGCTGCAGTGAGAGGTTATGTAAAAACAAAACAAATGCCAAACAAACATTTAATCATTTTATTTTCTAAATCTCAGATTTCTGTTTCATTTTTTAGAAAAATTCAGACATATTTAAAGAGCATGCTTCGGGCATCTTGTTCTTCTGGATATAGTTAAAGGCCGATTTAATAACTGTAAACTAGAAATAGATATAACCATGTCCTTAAAGCCTCCCGGTAACTTAACTTTGAATTAGTACTTCTGCCATGTGTCTTTGTTACATAGAACTGTTTAAAGCTTTCAAAACGGTTTCTATTTTCCAGGCTGACTGGGCAGCTAAATGGATGCTACCTTCTCTTTTTTTTCTTACTTTGTCTTGACCTCCAGATTCAATAGGTATTGCTGCAATAAGTCATATTACTGGTCTATTAATTACTTATTTCCTGCATTATTGACACACACTGTTTGGCAAGTTGTTGGTATATCCTGATGCCATGGCTTTTGGAAGCCAGGATCTAATGATTGGTCCCATTAGGAATGTCTTCGTGTGTAAAATGTTCTTGTTCCCACCTAGAACTCATGTTATGCACATTAACAAATGGAGCAGGAGTGCCCAATAGGTAGATCTCCAGATGTTGTAGGACTACAGCTCCCATGCTGCTTTACATGCCTTTAGAATGGCAAAGCATCATGGAATCTGTAGTATTAAAACATCTGGGGATCTACCTTTTGAGCACCCCTGATATAGCTTTATATTTGGCTGATAAGCATATTAAACCAATGACTCTCTGTGAGAAGCACCTGAATAGCTGAGAGCTGCAATTGCTGTACATGCCCAGAAAGTCCCCATGCTTCTCTGAGAAGCATTGCATTGGACACCAGGACTAAGGGTGAGAAAGAACGGGTACCCGAGACTGCCTAGTTCCAGATAAAAGGTGAGAAAAGGTGTCCTTAAAAAAAAAAAAAAAAAAGAGTTAAGGAACACACGAATATTAAAAATAAAAGTATACGGTTTTAATGTTAGCGTGTTCATTTAACATAATCTCGCAAAGTGTCCTTGATAGGTTTACAATTTATTTTAATAATAAGGGTCAAATCATCACAGGAGTGAAAAAAACCATAGTAACATTCATTAAGTATCTGTTGACTTGCTTAAAAACAAGATTATTATTATTAAAAATGCAAAGAAAGTATGGAAAGAAGCAGTTAACGAAAATCATACATTGTGCCATAATGTAACACAACTAGTGTTTTTAAACTACTCTTTCAGCTTGTATTAAAATCTATTAATTTTACCAAGCAATGCAACAATTGATTTAAAGAATGTAAAAGCAAAGCAGTTACAATTGCATTCCTTGTGTGACATGTAGAAAAGAAGTTGGCATTTGCACCAATTTTATTTTACACAATTTTAAAATCGTAAAGTGTACCAAGCCATATGCATGTCACTGTGTCACTATGGTACTTAAGCAGTGCATTCATGTTTTCCATCTTGATGTGCAAGATTTGGGTGTTGCATCTACCATCATTTAGAAAACAAAATTCTACAACATGAAATTATATCTCCAGATGAAAACATAAGCATTATTCTCATTTTAAGTTCCCCTAAAAACCATCCACTTTCCTTCTCACTAAAGCAAGTCTGAACTTGTCTCATCACCAGTTATTTGTATGCAGTTTCTATACAATGACTGGAAATATGTAATCCTGGCTTCCAAAAAATAAAATACAAATCAAATCTAAGTATTGTTTAAAGCTAACACATGTTGTTATCTCTGCTTTATACGCAGTGTTTTCATCAAGCTCAGAACTCGACAATTATCAAATGATAAATTACAGAGGTTGTTCTAATTTGGAACTTACAGTTGTAATCAAAATTATTCAACCACCATAGACAATCAGGCTTATTGTCAAGATTCACAGACTTTCAGCAGTTTGCAATTAAAGAATGGTTGGTGTAGCGCCTAGGGCAGGGATAGGCAACCTTCAGCACTCCAGATGTGTTGGCAAGGCATTGTGGGAGATGTAGTCCGCAACATCTGGAGTGCCAAAGGTTACCTACCCCTGTGCTAAGGTGTCCTGGCAAATATATAAAAATGATAAAAATAATTCACTCACTCTTTTAATGAGTTTATGTTCAGCTCCAACTTGATCGCTTGGGCAGAATGATCCCTACCTAGGGATATAATATGGTGAAGGATGTGCATGTAGTCCTCGCAGTTAGAGATTTTCTTGTGGATATGTGGAAGAAAATCAGGATAATAGAGTTTAGTATGCCAGACCAGATAGCAGAAATACAGCTATATAAAAAAATGTGCACTCCCATATTATGGAGCCTGAACAATGACTCCACAAGTATAGTGTGAAGTGGTATGATTCCCACTCGAGGATGCAGTTTTTTCTGTATATAAAAGAGAAAAAAAACACAGTAGATTAGATTCCAGATATATTCTAATCTGTTGAAACATGGCAGAATAATTTTCAGCAAATAAAGTTTTTGGGTTTTCAGCTATCTGAATATGTAAGTAGTGAAATGAGGATTTGTTCTGCAATTTGTATATGGATTGAGTCTATGCATAGGTATTTATTGGGATTTATAGTAAAAATCGGTGAAGTGCGCAGTATAGGATTTGTAAAACCAATCTAGAAGCTCTGACACAATTTGGATGGAATCCCCAAAAACCACAACCAAAGAATTATAAATCATACATACATAAGGTGGACCTGAAGGCGGACCTGAAGAGGATGCAGGCGGCATCTTTTCCCAACGGCAGTGTGAGAGCCTGGGAGAAGAGGGTGTTGTCCCTCCCCAGCAACGACGTGAGTACCATGGAGAGAATACAAGTGTTATTTCTTCCCAGTGACAGTGGGAACACAAGGGAGAGGAAGTTGTCGACCCTTCTCTCCAGTGGCAGTGAGAATATGCACTGCTCAACTGGATCCACTATGAGAAGGACCTCTGCCCAGTGGGGGCACTCTGTCTCAGACAACACACTTGCTCAGCTAATCCGACTCCACTAATGTACAGGCAGGGGACCTTACCTAAGCCCATAATGTAAAACACAATGGACCTCCAGCGGACCTGTATCCCACTAGTACTGTTAACTGTACATTGTCATGTGATGTGTGGTTTCTTCCTCTGTAAATAAAAAAAATAAAAATTAATTTGAATCAAAAAACACTTAACTTGAGATTTTCAAAATAACTTCAATCTAGTATATATACCTTTAAATTCAAATATAAAGTACAATAGTGTAAAACCTTAAAACTTATTACAATATATAAAAATGCCAATTGAACACATATTCAAGAGCTATATGACCTAGCTCTGGTGTGTATCACGGATTGGTCCATTTTGGGTGATCACTACCCTCTTGTGTGTTGTGGTTATGGTGGTAACCTTTTCTTTCTTAGGATCTCAGTTTCAAAGGAAGATATTTCTTAAACATTGTTTAAACAATGGCTTCGAAATCTGCCATTTCTTGAAGTGACAATAGAGATTGATCAAGTAGTTTTTAAATCTTCCAAGCCAGATCTGGGTTATTGCACTTTATTTTTGTATTTAAAGGCATATATATCAGATTGGAGTTGTTATGTTTTCTTACGGGTATCTATATACACTGGTGGATATGTCACTGTATATATAGCGCTCCACTATTCTATTGAAATATTTTTACGTGGTTGTGTGTTGGAGAATTGCACATTCAGTGTAGTAGCAGCTATTTTAAAAATTAGTTACGCAAATTTGCATGGAAAAACTTTTTAATTTTATTTTTTAATTTGATGTCACACAACCAGATCACTTATAATATAAAATTATTTAAATGTTAGTATATGACCTCAGGAGAATATATCAACCCCTTCTGATGATCCCCTTTTGCTGCAGTTGGTTTAGGTTGTACACAAAGGTGCAAAGTTCTGGTAAGTAGCATCTCCATTTTATTTGCCTTCTCATAAAAAAGGCAATGAAACCATGTCATGTGGCGGACTACATCTTTTAGTAGGAGTCTTTTCAGATGTGTTCTTGTAGACCACAGTTCCGCCATGGATCTGGGGGTTTGGCCTTTTTTGTGCCTGATCTCTGCCTTCCCAATCTCCTTTTGAAGCTTTTTTCCTGTGAGTAGCTATGCTAACCAGATGGCCCCTAATCACGGATTTATGTGCTGGCTGTACAGTAAACAGGGGACCTCCTTGGCGGTGTTGGATGTAAAATATTCCCTAAGACTTGGGGATGACATTAGATCTTTTAGTAGTGCTGTGTTCATGTTACAAGTGTCACGTATTCATCCGCTTATAGAAATGTGGTTAATGACATTTACTGTCCACACAGGAAAAGTTGTGCCGAGCAGCAACCTAATCCACAGAAGGGTTAATGCTGAGCAGTAATTGTGCAAATGAAACCTGGTGTCATGTATTCATCCGCTTAGAGAAAAGTGAGTAATGACATTTACTGTCCACACAGGAAAAGTTGTGCCGAGCAGCAACCTAATCCACAGAAGGGTTAATGCTGAGCAGCAATTATGAAAATGAAACCTGGTAACTGACTTTGGGGTCAAAGGCCGGTTACAGCCTATCAGAACTAAAGGAGGGGTATTTAGGCCCAGTTCTCAGCCTGCTCAGTGCCCTGTCGTGGTTTCCCTTGTGGTTGTCTGAGAGCGCGTTCCTGTTTATAGTTTTCTACCTGGTTTTTGACTTTGGCTTTGTTTATTGACTTCTCTATATTCTGGTATCCTGACTCCTGGCTTTCCTCATCGCTGTTTCCCTTTCTGTGTTCCCTGACCTCGGCTAGTATTTTTGACTATTCTTTGTACGTTAAATCCGGCCATTCTAAGGACCGGTAATACGTTACTTATTTGTCATCCGTGCTGTACAGTTCTACGTGCTGGATCAAACAGTAATCCTGACAACAAGTCCAATGTGTATGTGGGGATGGATCTGTGTGGTCGAAACACTATTATGGGTAGAATTTTACTGGATATCAGGAACAAATGTATGAAGGATCGCATTCCCAGTGTGGCAGAGTAGACAGTTTTATCCGTAGTGTCAGGATGATTTTGGGCAGGTGTGATTCTTGGATAAATGCTATATCAGCATTGAACCTCTTACATTCTTTAAACAGCAGATTCCTATATCCCAAATTTTAAATTGTACATTTTAGCAACACATTACCACCAGGGATCGCAAACAGGAAAAAATTGGAGTCGTTCGCAACTTGATTTTTGAGTGTACCCCCTGGTGCTACCACCTTTTATTGGAAGGACAAAGTACAAACGTTTCAAGCAATAACCCTTTATCAATGCTTAAGTTGTGCATAACTCCATTTTTTTCCTGTTTGCTATTATACACTGATGGAACTACAGTGTGGAGATATTGCAGCACTGTTTAAAGTCTTTTTGCTGTTAGCTTTAAAATCAGTGCAGGCAGGTATCTTGCCTCTACTTCATTCTGTATATATTGATAATAAGGATCAGGTTCATTCACCGAAGTACATATAGGAATGCAGCTCTGTCCTAATGTAGCACTCTCCCAATTTCTACAAACCCCATATGCTTCCCTTCCAGAAAAGGCTCTATTAGCATCCACTAATAAAATGTGGAAATTTGTGAGTAAACTAATAGGACTCCAAAGGCAATAGACAAGGTTTATTCCTTCCTTAACCCCTTAAGGACCAAACATCTGGAAAAAAAGGGAATCACGACATGTGTCCTTAAGGGGTTAAGCAACCCATGTTTTCAGGATGGGGAAGCCCATAATCCATACTGCTCTTGGGAAATGGCAGGCCATACCACCATATGTAAATTCCTGAAAGAACACAAAAATAAGCATTAACATTTCAATGTCAAAGTCAAACACAAATTCCATGACCTTGGTGTTCCCTTCTTTAAGATTTACAGACACATAACTTAATCAACTCAATCCTCCCACACCTTAGTCTGGAAGATTGGGACTACTGCACAGATTACTCACTTACACAACCAGTGACTTCATCCTATTCTATCAGCTCACTTTATTTCTAAATCAGACCTAACTTGGACCAAATAACTTCTGAACCAGGACTGTCAAGATGGTTAACAAACGTTCCAACACTAACACATGACATATTCATAACAACTGCCAAACTACTTAAAATATTGCCAACAGCTTCTTATCAAGAAATGCACTGGAACATTACACATCACATCCCAGCAGAATCAAGCTACTCTGTCTATAGAATCTTAATCGTCACTTAAGTGGATAGGGCAACATTGGATCATTCTGCCACTCCCTCCCCCATTATCCTTGCTTCCCATATAAGTGTCCTTTTGGTTCCACATAGACTGAATAGAAACCTCATTAAATACAAATATGCAAACATAAACAACAAATTATTTTTTGGTAACTGTATATTGACTCCTTAGATGGAGTTACTCAATTCAGAATAAAAATACTTTTTAATTTACTTACTGGTATTTGACCAGCGTGACTGCAGGCCAATCTCCCAAAGCCCCTATAGCATAAATTCCAAAGAACATGAAACTTCAAGCTGATTGCCCCTAAAGTGGCGCTAAACCCATGACTAATTACCTGAAATACATGAAAGAGAGCATGTTTAGTGGAGTTAACTTTTTTTTAAAGTTATAATGTTTTGTTTGTCTTTTCTTTTTTTTTATATACATTCTGTATGTATTCCATATAAAAAGTAATTAACAATGTGATAACTGCAATATCTAACTTGCTATGTTTAATGCAATATTCATAACCGTCTAACTTACGAATATCATCAATACTTGACAATACAAAAAAAACATTTAAAACTAAACAGCAGATACCTCTTCTTTGGGTAATTCAGGCCCATAACTTTTAGAGAAACAATTTTTAAAGCCATGGGTCTAATATGATCATGAGATTTAATAACGGAGGTTAATTTGGGTGTTTTGGGGGATTTTCTCAGAAAGAGACTAACACCTGTGGGTCTTACCTGTTGCCAGGATTTAATTGGGAGTGACCGATCACCTGTGGCATATTCAGTGCGCTAAACAGAGGATAGGTGACTAGCTCGGCCCCAACATGCAATGAGTGTAGGGTTGTCTCTATCTGCAGTACAACCAACTTTTGTACCTAGAATACATGCAAGACATTCACAATTTAACCCCTTAAGGACCAAACTTCTGGAATAAAAGGGAATCATGACATGTCACACATGTCATGTGTCCTTAAGGGGTTAAGAAGCACTAGCACGGTGTCAACATATAACAAGTAACCCTTAGTTTAATCAAAGAAAAGAACATTACTTGCTGCAGTAGTTTGAGCGTTTTTCTCCACCCCTGGATGGCTTAGTGCACAGCTGGTAACATGTAGGTGTCTCTCTTTCATCATAGTCCAGTTGCCCTGCTATAGACATGCACTATTGGGGTGGCATTCTGGCTCCCCATCATCATCTACTGCATAATACTAACCGGATAGTCCCACCATATAGTCCCCTCATATTTAAATTGATGGGTTTTCCTCTTCTCCTAGCGAATTGTTAAAAAAAATAAAAAAAATTTTTTATGTTTGAGAGAGACATGAGCAGTGAAACAGAAGGGTATGATCCATAAACCAAAACTGCTTTGTTAAAAGGAATACTATAGTCCCCCTCTTGCCCCCTCACAGTCATGAATAAAGGGTTAAAAACCCTTTATTTACTTACCTGATCATAGTGCTGATGTTCCTCGGCAATGGGTCGTTGCTCTGTCTCCTAGTATGTCCCTCAATGAGGGGGCTCTAAGGCACATGCACAGCGAGTGTCGCACACACTTTAGGCCTCCCCACAGAAAAGCATTGAATCAATGCTTTCCTATGGGAAAATAGCCAATGCTGGATGTCCTCATGCAGGGCATGAGGACGTCCAGTGTCAGCAGGCCAAAAGTCTGGTAACCTTCCAGAAGTCCTTCAAGTAGCTGTCTAGTAGACAGCCACTAGAGGCGATCTTAATACTGCACTACATTGCAGCACTAAGTGCAATAAGGACACTGTACCTAGACCACTTCAAAGAGCTTTCTCTCCTTCTGTGACGTTCACCTGACCACAAATTAAATAATGATGT